GGTTAGGAAGAATCAATAGGGTGAAAATGGCCATACTGCCCAAAGTAATTTATAGATTCAACACCATCCCCACCAAGCTACCAATGACCTTCTTTACAGAACTGGAAAAAACTACCTTAAACTTCATATGGAACCAAAAGTGAGCCCACATAGCCAAGTCAATTCTAAGCAAAAAGAACAAAGCTGGAAGCATCACACTACTGGACTTCAAACTATACTACAAGGCTACAGTAATCAAAACAGCATGGTACTGGTACCAAAACAGAGATATAGGCTAATGGAACAGAACAGAGGCCTCGGAGGCAACACCACACATCTACAACCATCTGATCTTTGACAAAGCTGACAAAAACAAGCAACAGGGAAAGGATTCCCTGTTCAATAAACGGTGTTGGGAAAAGTGGCTAGCCATGTGCAGAAAGCAGAAACTGGACCCCTTCCTGACACCTTACACTAATATTAATTCCACATGGATTAAAGACTTAAACATAAGACCTAACACCATAACAACCTTAGAAGAAAACCTAGGCAAAACCATTCAGGACATAGGCATAGGCAAGGACTTCATGACTAAAACGCCAAAAGCATTGACAACAAAAGCCAAAATAGACAAATGGGATCTAATTAAACTCCAGAGCTTCTGCACAGCACAAGAAACAATCATCAGAGTGAACCGGCAACCAACAGAATAGGAAAAAAATTTTGCAATCTACCCATCTGACAAAGGACTTATATCCAAAATCTACAAAGAAATAAAACAGATTTACAAGAAAAAAAACAAACAAACCCATTCAAAAGTGGGTGAATGATATGGACACTGTTGAAAAGAAGACATATATGAGGCCAACAAACATATAAAAAATGCTCACCATCACTGGTCATTAGAGAAATGCAAATCAAAACTACATTGAGATACCATCTCACGCCAGTTAGAATGGCGATCATTAAAAATTCTGGAGACAACAGATGCTGGAGAGGATGTGGAGAAATAGTAACACTTTTACACTGTTGGTGGGAGTGTAAATTAGTTCAACCATTGTGGAAGACAGTGTGGCGACTCTTCAAGGACCTAGAAATAGAAATTCCATTTGACCCAGCAATCCAGTTACTGGGTATATATCCAAAGGATTATAAATTGTTCTATTATAAGGACACATGCACACATACATTCACTGCAGCACTGTTTACAATAGCAAAGACTTGGAACCAACCCAAATGCCCGTCAATGATAGATTGGACCAGGAAAATGTGGCACATATACACCATGTAATACTATGCGGCCATAAAATACGATGAGTTCGTGTCCTTTGTAGGGACATGGATGAACCTGGAGACCATCATTCTCAGCAAACTGACACAGGTACAGAGAGTCAAGCACCGCATGTTCTCACTCACAGGCGGGTGTTGAACAATGAGAACACATGGACACAGGGAGGGCGCATCACACACTGAGGTCTGTCAGGGGGCACTAAAGGAGGGACAGTGTGGGTTAGGAAGTTGGGGAGGGATAATCTGGGGAGAAATGCCAGATACAGGTGATGGGGATGGAGGCAGCAAACCACATTGCCATGTATGTACCTAAGCAACAATCCTGCATGTTTGTACCCCAGAACCTAAAATGCAATTATATACATAAATGATAAAATATTAACCTACGTAGAATGTAAAAGTTTAGGTATGTATGTTAACTACCCTATAACAACCACTTAAAACACTGTAACAGACAAAAAGCCAGTAATATGCATGAAAATGAAATACTAAAAAATATTCAAATAATTCAAAAGAAGGTAGGAAAGAGGTGAAAGAGGAACAAAAGGCATAGAGCAAATAATGAAAGGGTAGACCTAAACCCAACGTTATTAAAAATTGTATTAAGTAGTTTCAACATAACCAAAAAGATATTGTTAGAGTTCAGGAAAAAACAAGATCCAACTATTTGCTGTGTATAAGAAACTCAATAGAAAATATAAAGACATAGGTTAAAAGTTAAAGAAACTAATTCATTAGTGTCACTAAAGTTGCTACATAACCTTCCACTGCTAAACTTGACTGGCTTAACAAAAAAGGTAAAAAGAAAACCACACAAAAACCTGTGACACAAATATTCCTAACAGTATTATTTCGTAACAGCCAAAAGTGCAAACAACCTAAATGTTCATTAACTGATGAATGCATAAATAAAATGTAGTATATTCATATAATGGAATATCATTGGGCAATAAACAGGAATAAAGTACTGATAATGTCATAGCTATGTTATGATGAACCTTGAAAATACTATGCTGAAAATCCCTGTTCCACTCTCCCTTTCCTAGGGAAAAAAAAAAAGGAAATACTGTAGTATGCTAAGTGAAAGAAGCCAATCACAAAACACCATGTATTGTAGGATTCCATTAAACGGAAATGTCCAAAATAAGCAAATCCATAGAGACAAAAAGCAGAGTAGTGATTGCCTAGCAGTTAAGTAGGAATGGGGAGTGATACCTGAATTGAACCTTAGAAAGACTGGAGAAAAAAAAAAAAAAAAAAGGAATGGGGAGTGACTGCTAATGAGTATGGGATTCATTTTAGGATGTTAAAAATGTTCTAAAATTGGGCCAGGCGTGGTGGCTTACGCCTGTAATCCAAGCACTTTGGAGGCGAAGGCGGGCGGATCACCTGAGGTCGGGAGTTCAACACCAGCCTGACCAACATGGTGAAACCCCGCCTTAAAAAAAAATAAAAAAAATTTAAAAATGTTCTAAAATTGGATTGTAATGATGATTATATAATTCTAAAAGTGGTATTTTTTAAAAATGTATTTTTAAAAAAGTAAAGGGAAAAGATATATCACGTAAACAAAAAGGAAGCTGGAATAGCTGTACTATCAGATCAAATAAACTTCTGAACAAGGAGTACTATCAGGGATAAAGAGAGACATTATAAAATGACATAGGGGCCATGTTTATGCATCTAACGACTTAACTTCAAAATATATTAACCAAAACTGATGAGACAAAGAAATAGACAAAATCACAAAGAGGCTTCAAAATCCCTCTTAGTAACTGATATAACAAGTAGACAGAAAGTCATCAATGATACAGAAGACCAGAACAGACTATCAGTCAACTTGCCCTAAATTATATTTATAGAATATTACACTCTAAAAAACAGAATACACATATTTTTCAAGTGTACACGAAACATTCACAAATACAGACCATAATCTGTGTGATAAACAAACCTTAACAAATTTAAGACTTGAAACCATATACGTTATGTTCTCTGACCACATGGAATTAAATTAAAAATCAGTAACAGATATCTGAAAAATCCAAAAACACTTCTTAATTTAAATAATACACTTCTAAGTAACTCATGGGTCAAAAGGAAGCCATGAGATAAATTAGAAAATATTCTGAATGAAATTAAAATGAAAATACAGTGTATCAAAACTTGTGGGATACAACTAAAGCAGTGCTTAGAAGGGAATTTAGAGCATTAAATGCTTATATTAGAAAAGGAGAAGGGTCTAGAATCAGTGTTCTAGGCTTTCACCTTAAATCACAAAAAGAAGAGCAAGTTGTATCCAAAGCAAGCAGAAAGAAGGAAACAAAGTGCAGAAATAAAATTAAGAACAGAAAATCATTAAGAAAAAAAATTTCAATGAACCCACAAGCTGATTTTCTAAACAATCGGTAAAATTGATATCCTAGCCAAATTGAGAAGACACAAATTACCATTATCAGGAGAAAGAGGGACAATCACTACATAACCCGCAGACATTAAAAGCATAATAAAAGAATATTATGCACAACTCTACGTCCACAAACTCATTAACTTGGATGAATGGATCAATTCCTTGAAAGACAAAAATCTACCAAAGCTTACTTTAAAAAAAAAAAAAAAAAAAAAAAACAACCTAAATAAATGGAGAATTATACCATATTCCTGAATAATCCTAATCAAAAACCCAGGAAGCGGATTATGCAACAGAAAGACAAATGAACTACAAGAGTTACAAATAAGAACAAATTTAGAGGACTCATTTTACCTGATTTCTAGACTTACTATATAAAGGTAGAGTAATCTACATAGCATGGTATACACTAATGGATAGACACATAGATTGGTAGAAAAAACGGAATAATAGAAATAAACCTACATAAATATGATCAACTGATTTTTTTAAATCAAGGTGCAAAGGCAATTCAATGGAGAAAGATTAGTCTTTTCAACAAATGGCATTGGAAAAAAAAAAAAAAAGAACCTTACTTAACCCCTATCTTCTACAAAAATTAACTCAAAATGGATCAGAGATCTAAATGTAAAAAGTGAAATTATAAAACTTGAAGATAAAAATTTAGGAGAAAATCTCTTTGACAACCTTTGACTAGACAAAGAATTCTCAAACACAACATAAAAAGCACGATCCATACAAGAAAAACTTGTAAATTAGACCTCTTTAAAATTAAAAACTTTTGTTCTAAAAAAGGCAGTTAAGAAAATGAACAGACCTGGCTTAAGCTGGGAGAAAATATTTTCAAATCACATATCTGACAAAGGCTTATATTTACAATCTGTAAAGAAATCTACAACTCAAATGCATCATGCTAAATCAAGAAGTTGGACTCAAAAAGCTACATACTATACAATTCCATTTATGTGGCACTCTGGAAAAGGCAAAAACCATAGGGCTGGAAAATAAATCAGTGTACCAGGGGTCTGGAGTAAGCATAGGTACTGACTACAAAGGGAATTCTTTTAGGGGGTATGAAATTATTCTGTATCTTGGTAATGATGATTACAAGTCTTTTTACTCATAGTACCACATACCACAGAGTGGATTTTACTCTATGTTAAATAAATTTTTTTAAATATAGCTTTTAAAAAACTGAATAATATCTAAGTAAACTTAACATGGCAATTGACCAGAAGGTACTTCATTCAGACTGAAAAAAGAGATCATTTATTTCTATTATTTTTAAAGAGTTAAAACAAGTTCCAAAAAAACAGTTTACCGGTGCTGGGACTGTAGTCTTTCTAGTGGTTCAGCCTTCTGTTGAATCCCTTCCTGAAATATTGCATCTGCTTTCCTAAAGTTTTCTCTAGCTTCATATTCTTCTGCCCATGAGATATAGAACTGAGCAAGTGAAACACCAATCCCTTGGTTGTGCAAGTAACTGTACATATCCAAAGGCTCATTGCATAAACGCCCCTGTAACAAATTAAAAGTGTTAACAGTTAACCAATTTCTACTTACATATTGAATGCCTATTAGATGCCAAACAATCACTGGAGATACTACATGCAATTTCGGTATTGAAAAAAAAAAAATCTATTATTACAATGTGACAATGACCATACTGGGAGGACCTAAAAAAGAAAAAAAAGTGGGAGATTTATAAGAAGAGATGGAGACTAAAGGCTTCATGTAGGAGTAATAAGCCAGGCACAGTGGCTTATGACTGTAATGACAGCATTTTGGGAGGCTGGGATCACTTGAGGTTAGGAGTTGGAGACAAGCCTGGGCAATTTAACAATTCCCTGTCTCTACAACAAAATTTTAAAAATTAGCTGGGCACAGTGGCAGACACCTGTAGTCCTAGCTACCCAGGAGGCTGAGGCAGATGAATCACTTGAGCCCAAGAGTGAGGCTGCAGTGAGTTATGATGCTGCCACTGCACTCTAGCTTAGGTGACAGCGTGAGACCTTGTCTCTAAAAAAAANATGTTGACCAGGATGGTCTCGATCTCTTGACCTCGTGATCCACCCGCCTCGGCCTCCCAAAGTGCTGGGATTACAGGCTTGAGCCACCGCGCCCGGCCTTACATTTTTTTTTTTAATTGTTGCATGATATTTCTTTTTCTTATTTATTTATTTATTTTTTATTTTTTCTAGAAAAAGAAAGAAAGAAAGAAAAAAAAAGAATAAAAAAAAGAATAAAAAAAAAAAAAAAAAAAAAAAAAAAAAAAGAAAAAAGGAAAAAAAGGGGGCAGGGAAGGGGCTAACATTTGAGCTTAGCCCTGAAGGAGAAACGGACTTTCATCAGGTGGAAAATGGGAAGGGAAGGGTATTTCAGCCAGAGAAAATAGCATAAGCAAAGGTACAAAAGACGAAAAGTTATGTAGGGGTCCAGGCAAGATAGCAGTCTGGAGAAAAAGGCTGTGATCGGTCTTGAATGTCAAGCTAATCAATTTTGAATATGCCTAATAGTAACTGTTATATGTGTTAGGGTGGGTAAGCTGTAAGCTTTAAGCAAAAGAATGATATAGTCAAATCTGTGTTTTAGAAAGGACATTATGAGACCAGGTACAATGTAAATAATTCTAGTAGCAAGAGGGAGGAAAATATCCCTAAAAACCCCACATCATAAACATTTTGATACATTTTTTCAGTCTTTTTTTCCTTAAGGATAAAAGGATATATATTGTCTTACAAAGTTTGATCATGATAAAATTGGCTTTTATTCCACTATAACACTTCATTGTTCACTTTTCCATGCTCCTGCTTTTACTTCACCAATATTATTTTATTTATTTTCAAGAGACAAGGTCTTGCTCTGTTGTCCAGGCTGGATGGCAGTGGCACAATCATAGCTCACTATAGCCTTGAATTATTTTCACTATTATTTTTAAATTAATGCAAATGTTTCATATAATAGAACTTCCATAATTTAATTGTTCATCTACTTCTGGTTATTTAAACTACTACTAATTTTGCCCAATTATAAATAACTTCATGCATACAACCCTTCACATTTTACATTACTCCCTTAAGAGAGATTCCTAGAACTATGTTAAAAAGTAAATTGCTTTCTGAGAAGGTTGTAAAAATTTTTAATACTAAAATTTAATAATTCACAAAAATACTCATTCTACCAGACTCTAATTAGCATTAGAAACTATTAAAAACAGTTCCTGGCCGGGCGCGGTGGCTCAAGCCTGTAATCCCAGCACTTTGGGAGGCCGAGGCGGGTGGATCACGAGGTCAAGAGATCGAGACCATCCTGGTCAACATAGTGAAACCCCGTCTCTACTAAAAATACAAAAAATCAGCTGGGCATGGTGGCGCATGCCTGTAATCCCAGCTACTCAGGAGGCTGAGGCAGGAGAATTGCCTGAACCCAGGAGGC